ATTCGATATATATCTCGAATGACGGCATTGTGCACTCTCTGCGCGTTTGAACATACGCAAAACTCGCAAAAGTCAAGTGCGCGCACCGCGACAGAGCGGGAGAGCGCCCTTTCTTTTCTCCCTTTTTCCCGATCGCGTGTCGACGGTTTTTAAAAGCCGCGCGTGTCCGAAAAAGCCGTGTTCAAAACGCCGCATGGAAAAACGTTGTGATAGGAGTGAAGACTCGAGCAAATCTTGAGTACTGTATACCGTGTCACAATCCACTATTAATTTCTCGCTTCCCCCCTGTCATCCTTTTCTCCGTTTTTCCTCCAGTTATTTATCGTTTCCTCTCTCTCGACTTCTGTCCCGTTTCTTTCTCGCGTTTCTCTCCACTCGTTCCTTCTCGTACTTCTCCCTTTCGCTGTCCTTCTCATTCTTCCTTTCTCTCTTCTTTGCTACGGCGTCGTCTCGTGGGGTCAGTGTCTGCTCGATCGGATCCTGAGCAGGAACATACCGGTGGCGGAGGAAGAGGAGGACGATCTCTCTCTTGCAATCACTGCAGCGTGCCACGTACTTTGAAAATCGTTTTCGGAGTGTTCCGTTTTTTCGCGCCACGCGACTGTGATACAGGAACTATGTAACAACGTCAACGACGATAAGCACGGGGACAGTCGTCGCGAAATCAACATCGATAGATCAATTATTGCGCACAATCGCTGGCGGGACTTGATCCACCGCCCGTCTCGCGTTCGCAACGTAGAAAACTCACGCTCGTTTCTTATCATGCCGCTCTTCGCGTAGTATCGTTCGTTTTTTTTGTCTCATCTCTGTCGTACCCTTGCCCTCTCCCCTTGCCGCATCATTCCCCGTTTTTCCCTCTCGCACGCGTGTACTCGTTGCGCGCTCTTTCCCTCTCCACACTTTCCTCCTTTGCGGCCGCCGCTCGCCGTCTCGCTTGCTCGCGCCGCGTGTTTTCTCGCGAGCGAATACGACAAAAAGGAAAACCGACGCACGAGTGATACTGCCGCGCGAAAGACAAACACATACCATCTTGGAAAGAAAGAGATCGAACTAGTCGTGAGTTTGTGTTTTTGTTTATCCAGGGTGGACTGCACACCGTACTGCTGGTACTGCACGAAACCAAGTAGACGTCTCTCTCCTCTTTCTCGGAAGGACGATTCATCGCTGGAGGCAGTCGCGAAAAGTGAGTAGCTTTATTAACGTTTAGTTTATTCTTCTATTCCTACAAAGTGCGCTTTTTTGTATTAAAATTAAAAGCAAAATGTCATAAACCTGCAAAAAGAATACAAATTTCTCGAATTTTTAATTAAGAGAAAAAAATGGTACGATTCTATTTGGAAGAATAGATTAAATATTCTAGTTAAAGTAAATAAATTCAGATATATTTTATTGATTCGTTATGAACATTTTGCTTTTTAGTTAATCGAAACAGTAATATTTTGGGCATTTTCAACAAATATTGAACAAATGATGGCTTTTAATATAAACTCACAAAATATACGCTAATACATTTATAAATATACGCGTGAAATCGTTATTTACTATATTCGTGAATACATTTTGCTTAACATTCGTCGAGTGCCAGTAGTAGATTCATTGTAGCGATCAGTATTGTCAATTTCAACACAGAACATTGTCGCGTACGTTTGTCACGCAAATGTTCGGAGCACAGAATGAATTTGCTACTATTGTGCTATTACATTCAGTATGACGCTTTATGCACTACATTCATATACTCGTGTATTCGTTCACTACGGCAACAGGCGACTTTCCTAACGTTTCGTATTTTTTCTGCTATGTCGTTATATGTATTACTGCAGCCTATTTTTAAAAGTCTAAATTAACCTTTAATCATATATTTTAATATTATCAATTTAATAATATTATCTGAAGTTTGTTAAATTTGATGATTTTAATATATATGAAAAATTAGACTATACGAACACTATTTATACGATCTTTTCGCTGGCACAAGAATTCTCAATATATCTATAATTTTAGGTATTTAAAAAATTGGTAATCGATTCTTTTTGTATAAAAAAGCCGTTGGTTTCGTTATACAAAGTTAATGCGCATTAAATAAAGCGCATGCTTATCCTTGTTGCATAATTGTACTAAGTAGTTTGCAAAAGGCACGCTTTGTGCGACCACTTTTTTGCTGAATGAACTTACACACATTGCGAATAGATTTAATTATCAGTATATTAGATAGAAATTATCGCTGGCGTTTGGCCGCTGCATTTCCGTGAAATGAGCGATTTGCCTTGCGAAATAAATACGCGCAGTGAATGCAGGCACATTAATAATCAAGTAAAATGAGCGAGTACGCAATAGCATCGTGTATTGTAGAGCATTATAGTTGTAGATGTAATATAAAATCTCCATAAATATTTCGAAACATGGAAAAACATTGAAAAATTTACTTGAAAGTATTTTTATCAATGTAGAAAATTCGTCAGTCTGATAAGTTTGATTACATATAAATTATAAAACATGTATTTTATATGTATTATATTTAATCTGATAAAAAATATTTCTGGTAAAAAAATTTTAAATGCTTTATTCTGAACATAATTCTAGTTGTATATATGTTAGTATTTATTCAGTGGAAATTTAATTTAATCCAAATTTTTTAATGTTATAATGCTAATTAAATTTCAATTTATCTCTTATCAGATTTAATTTACTAAATAAATTTCAAGGTATATAAAATCTACAATTTCTTTTCAAGTAAACTTCGGCTGAAATAAATAAATAGCTTTTTATTTACGTTCATAAAAATTTTATTGATCAACGTTTTAATTAGATAACTTTGTGATTAAGCTACTGACTTTTGTGGAGCCAAATGTAAATTTGAAAATTTGAAAGAAAATCCGCTGGAATTCTCATTTCTTGAGATGCTTCGTACATTAGTAAGTAGCCTAACTGTTATTCAGCGGTGGATCCGACATAATGGCGTAGCGCGTGATAAATTAGATGGCTGTAATGCAAATTGCGGCAGACGCTTTTCTATGAATGAACACGCGTGTACTGCACGTTGAACTTTAATTTACTCGCGAGCGATTTTAGTTCCGACGATGCATTATGACGATTGCATTTAACGGGTGGGTATGTGGGCTCTCGTAATATTTTTTCTGCTTTACGTAAATGGATTATCCGTCATTTATTGATCGGCTTTTGCAAAATTTTGATAGCAGCTTATAATATAGCATAGCACAGCAAGTAATTCTTCTTTTTTATCTTTATTTTTTCATGAAATTATTATTACATTTTTTAATCATTTAATAATATTAATATATAATATTAATTAATTGTGTTAATTTAATTCGTAATGGAAATGTTTGAAGAAAAATCTGTGCTTTATTCTATGTGTAATAATATATAATTAAAAAATTTTTCAAATATTTTTAGATATTATTTTGCGTTATTTGAGCAATAACAACTGCGAGTTTGAATTGCAAATTTCATCGATTTCTAATGAAAATCTGCGGTTTATTCGTTTCCGCGAGTTGCTTGATTCATTGTGCTTTCGCTTTTTATCGCGGAAAAACAAACGCAAGGACCTTATCTTGTCGCTTGCAAGCCCGCCTGTTCTCATAAGAACAAAAAGCAATTTTAAAGTTTCTTTCTAGTTATTGAAAAACGTATTGCAGCATCGGAAATTTTATTTTTGTTTGTTTTTCCTATTAAATAATTTATTTTTCTTTTTGTAACGTTGAACGCTAGTTTGATATTGATCTTTATCGCATTAATCGCGCTTTATTCGAAACAGTTAAATGTTAGAATAAATGGCGTTTAGTTTTAAATTATGGCAAAAATTTGAAATTTAAGTTTTGCATTATATTATTCCATTATCATTACATTTTAGTATTTTATTTCAATAATTTTCAGCTTTAACTGTAATTAAAGAAAAGTAATATGATATTAATATATGTTGGAGACAGTTTTTATAATTCAGGAGGGATGAAATAATACGGCTACTAGAAACTGATATAATTGATTTCTAATGAAAGCCAGTTATTTTTTTCGTTTATATTTATTTTTAACATATTTTTTGTATAGATTTATCGATATCCGTATCAATGCAAATTTATTCTATTTATATTGTGGTCCCTTGCGAACGAATCAAATATTTATGTTCCTGATGCCGCGTAAAAGGATTATATTTACTTGCTGAGAATTCGTAATGTAAATGCATCTTCCTCGGAGGACTGGAAAAGTTATGTACTTCTCGCGTTATAACTTACGTATGAAAAACGTATCTAAAAAATATACATATAGATAGTCATATCTCCCAAATGATTTATTTAATATGATAAAAAATACGATGTGGTTTCTCTTACCTTGACTGCATTACTTATCACACATTCATATTAGAATATTAGAAATACAATCTTTTATATTCTTATAAAAAATATATTTTAAAAAGATTTATTTTTAAAATATGTTTTTTATAATGGTGAAAGGCCGAAATATATTTAAAAGTTGCAACAGAGAATATTGAATTTGATTAAAAATTCACTAAAATATAGTTTTTTAGTCTTTTTAAAACGCTGTGTGTGGAAATTATGTGTATGACTTTAATTTTGATAAATGATTAATTATTTATTAGTTAATAATACAATATCATAACTCTATCATTGAAATTAATGCGAGAATATTTTGGGTAGAGCTAAATTGAATCTGACAGAAATAATCTATGAGTCTCACGAGAGGGATTTGTCTTCTGGGACTTAACGCGTATTGCTTCGAGCTGCTCAATTATTCGCACAATGTGGGATTCGTATAGATTAATATGCAAAGTATTATATTTAGAAGCAAAGTATATTTAGTAATCACACGTACAGCATGGAGACATGTACTACAAGAATATTTATCTTTTTGTTAAATATTAAATCGTTGATAATTTTTTTATAATAGATATAGTTTCATGTCGATATATCAAATCAGAGTACCAGATTTACTGGATATTAATTAGCATATTGATTTCCATTTATGTAACACTTATGAATTTATGAAAAATAATGAAGACTTATGATAAATATTTTGGTCGATATGCGTTTGCAAAATTGATTATAGCAATCGCGTAAAATTCAATAAAAAATAACCTTTATCTAATTTATTAGTGCAATTAAAAATATTGTGCATTGCTGTTAAAGAATGTTATGACGTATTTGACTATCGCGAGATTAAAGTATAAATTTTCAACGACCTACGTCGCGTGCTGATTTATCGCGAGCTACGCGCCGAGCGCGCAGCATCCTCATCAGTAAAACAAGCCGTCGCGACTGGTGAGTTAGACGAAAGCCGTATTAGTCGGTCGCATCTGTCAATAATTATTATCGCGAAGGCGCAGTGCGTGCTGCGTTTCGCTGTTGCAGACAGCCGCTGCATGCACGTTATCCGAGAAAACACGAGGCGAACGATATCAACGACCCGTAGATACGTTGCGCTGGCGAGATGCAGGGGGGGAACGAGAGAACCGGCGATTAGAGAGAGAGAGAGTGAAAGATCGAAGCGAGAAAGAGAGAGAGATCGCGACGCGCTTTTCGGGAATTCACTAATTATAATTGCCGTGATGTGCGCTTCGCTTGCAGATAATCATAGTTACGATAATAATTAAAGTCACGCTAAGTTACTGCAAAAATAGTAACAGCTACTAAGATACCGGAGTGTAGTAATTTTTGTAAGTTAATTTCAGATAAATTAACAAAACGTTTAGATAAAAAACCGCTGTCTCTTTATTCGTCAATATTTACTGTGTAACTGCTAAGAGTCTCATTTTGACAATTTTTGTTTGATATTTTTATTTTTCTGAAATAAAATGAAAATTACTTGATTGTAATATTAAAGAATTTTACACAAGTTATGTAATTTGTTGTTCTTAAATTGCAGAACTGGAAATATAAATTACATAAATATATATGTAGAAAAAAATATATTTTATGGAAACATAACGTAAAAAGTTAAACATAGAAACAGAATTCTAAAAATATGATGTTCAAGAATGCGTACATTGAAATATAATTTCAATGTACATGAATATATTTTTGCTTAATCTTATTTATAAGTTTGTTCAATATTTTTGCAAGAAAGCGAATTTTCAATCTACGTTTTTAAACGCACAGTTTGTTACGATGAAAAGATCGTGGTTATTGATACAATTGCTCATATAGCAATTGA